GACAGGATTGATCTGACTACCAAAGATAGGTCGTTGACAGCCTGACCCTTACCCAGCCCTGTTCTCTCCCACAACCCACAGTTCCTGTGACTGATTGGAATAATGGCCCGATCAATACAAACTTAATGTTTTAAAGCCAGAGAGTGGATCAGTGGGGATGTACTGCACCACTTGATCAATGAGGTGCGTACTGGTTATTAAAAGGGTTCTCCACACATGGCCAGTCGTCTTGGACCGCTGCCATGCTACACTAGGCTTGGCTGAACAAGCATTGAGAATGTCAAGGAGAATTTCTATACCCAGCCTAATAATATGTGCAAGTAATCTTTTACGGTTGGACGGATCATTTACCGCATGTTTTTCCTTGTAAAGTCATTTTGAAACATGTAAGAAGAATAAAATTGTCTGCGCATTTAACTGTACTATGGCCTTGAATTTAAATAGTGGTGCCACTGGACAACTGTGTATGAAAATACCGGTACCAAAACTGTAAATGGTGTAAGGCATTGTAAAAAAAAATGTTGCGTTCCAAGTTTCCTGACCGACCCTAGAAAAACCTGCCGACCCTAGTCTTTTTTGGTGAATCCCAGCAAGTACATCCTTTTTTAGAGCTGATCAACCTTTTCTAGCTCCTTGATCTGACACCAGAGAGATGAAACAAGTGCAACTTATTCAAGTGTTACTTTATAAAACTGTATTGTATGAGCTGGACCACTAGCCAAGGTAAAAAAAAAGATAATCCCTACCTACCGATCCTAACTCTTTCAGGACTAAACCAGTAAACACAACATTTTTTTCCCTAGGCCCAAACACAAAGCTTCATTTTTGGGCACTGGAGGCCAGTAGTTAGATGCCAGGGGAGGATGAATTTGCCCAATGTGTCAGACATGTGCTGATCAACTTACCGCTTCACCACAGATAGACGCCAGGCTTTACAACGTGACCAGGATACAGATGTGAACAACTTGTCCCGTGGAGAGCTATCCAACTTCCTTGACAGAATTTACAGAGGGCTTCTTTCACTAGAGCTGGCATTAAGCATATTTCAAAAGGCACTGACGTGACAAAATAACCTTTACATTGTCACATTTAAGTGAAAAATTCTTCTCATTATCACTTGCGCCAGTTACAATTTCTGTAGAATTTGCTCGTTTGTTGGATGGTTAATTTAGGGATAATAAAAATGTATTTGAAACAAGTTTATGTCTTTTTTTCATTCTATTTTAGTCGTGACTTGAGAAAAAAACAGATCCAGCAATTTTTCAAGGCCTTATCATCACTAGATCATTGTTGTACCTATGTATCATCATAAAACCTAAGTGCCAAATTATTTCGCACAAGTGCCATACATTAAAATGCTCATATAGCCAGGACACTTGAATTCTATCATGTCCATTGGCACTTACACCAAAACGTTAGCGTAAAAAGGTTACAATATACCAATGACAAGACGCGGTAATTGATAGTACGTGACGGGCTCGGCATATCGGCTTCACTTGCGTTTAGCGTTTCGAGAGAGCTGTCAGCGAAAACGGCCGCTATTTTTCACGGCATCAGTCTTTATGGGCTGGCCAACATGGCTGGTAACTCCAGCAATTGAATTATACGGCAAATTACCTTCTCTAATGGACGAAATGTAAATAGTCCTGGGAAAATGCATCAAGGCACACCAGGCTGGAACATCCCGGCTAATTGACTAGAGGGGGAAGGAGGAATGATTTGTTTGGGCTGGGATTTCCCTAGTGTCTGCTAAAAAATTAGATGGGTGCTCAAATAGATCACTGTTCAGTGCTGCGCTCTTATAACAAGGGATTGAATATCTATTCTACTGCTTCTAATGCGTTTGGTCTTCTCGTACTCGTAGTGCCAAATTCTTTGCAAGCCTGGCTAATGCTAGTGATATCGTGTATATGTGTAAGTGTGGTCAAAATGTTGTCGTGTTTAAATGATTTCTACATTAACAGCTTGTCCAATCACTAGCCATTATCTTCAAAGCATAATATGCACATTTTCTTCTCCTCTTCCCATTACAAGGCACCGGATGTGCAGCGTAGGTACTGAAACGTTATAATGAAAGGGGAAGAGAGGCTTGTATGTAGTCTTCCATTAAAACTCAGAAAAACGGGTTGTCGTTTGGTTCTAATTGAAGGGTAGTACAGCCGAGGATATACATTAGTCCAATTCTGGTAGTACCAAAGTTGTTCCCTGGGTAGATTAAATAACTGGGCAACATGACAGCATTACAACACCCCCCCTCCCGCCCCAGTATCTTCAATAATATTGTATTGTGTAAGAAGACCAGACACTGTATTGTGTAAGCACAACACTCAGTATTACAATGTCTAAATGGTAAAACACCACTAAGAAATAGTGGATTTTGACAGCTTTCAGCCATATAAGTTATCAGATACAAAGTTGTCTCTTTAACGAATCAATGAAGGATAGACTGCTAGATAGAGCTTCTGATGACTCAAAGACAAAAGTCTCATGCACTCTGTTTTACATTTCCTTGCTGCAGGCAAGAAGGTTCAAAATATAGATCCATGCTGCAGGTAAAGCATGTTCAGCAATTCTGTATTGGGTACAGTGTAAGTTGGCAGGGCTAGGGTTAAACACACAGGATGTGGTCACAAGTCATCATGGCTGCAGTAAGGATTATCAGGAAGCCCCTTTCACACACCTTCACCGGTCACGACAGGTGAGCAAATATGATCAACACTTCATACAAAAGAAACAGTCATCTCAACTTGTACAGCCCTTTCATAGCTGTTTGCCTCTAGACATTTCTTTGGACAGTAAGGTCAGCGTTAATTCTAAAAAAATTTGCATCCAAAAACCAGCTGCAGCAATCATTCTAACTTGATTTTATGACAATTTTTTTCTTAATTCCTAAATAACTTATTTCTGATGTAGATCCTAAGAACAAAGAGATAGTTGTTTCATGTTTAATGCATTAGTCAGAATCTATTCACGCTAGAGAAATGTAGGATAGTGTTTGAAACTGTCCTAGAAATGTAACAAGACCCTTTTTTTGGTCATGACTTCAGATGAGTCACTTCCTGGGTTCCACAACTTGTTTGCCTTAAATGGTCAAAAAACTTGTGGAACGGATCTGCCCCCCTCCCCACGCTCCTCTGATCAAATAACAGGTGCAGGTTACAGCCAGGTGTGACTAAGACTAAGACAGGTGCATCTGAATAACCCATTAAAGAAATGAATTATTCTGCTTGATGAATTTTCTTTTGTTTTACCCCTTACGATAATTGAATTTTATGGCAGATCATTTACCCAGGTTTATTCATTACATTTGAATAATGACATTTTATCCATTGGCTACGTTTTCTTTTCATGACATCTGTTTCTTTGACCCTTTTCCTTAGCCTCTACAAAGCAACTCCCTTGGAATAATATCTGTCTTTTTGTACTCTTTCTAGCTGCTTCCCAAAGCCTATCTTTTCTTACTGATTTGTTCTATGCTATAGAGTTTTCATGGATGTTCACACACATTATGGAGAAGATTTAGAGACAGGCCTTTTTGTTTGAAAGGCCATGGGCACATCTGGTGGCACCAGTTGTTAAAAGGCTGCTCCCATGGGTTAGTGCTGACATTCACACTGTCAATGACAGCACTGATGTTAGAATGACAGCAACTGCTGTGACATACTGTATTTCTTTTCCTTGTTTCAGCACCAGTTAGCTAACCCATCTTATGCTATGGACTCTTTGGACCACACAGACTTCTATTTTTGTTGTGGAATACTTGGATGGGAAGTCAAGCAAACTTAGAAAAGAAATGACAAAACTAACATCAAAATAATAATAAAAATATGCTTTAGCTGTTCTTTTGTGGATTGTTACAGCGCTGAATACAAAATACAATCAAGATTTTTTTTCCAAAAATTGCAATTGTCAGAAAGGTGAAGACCAGAAGTTACTAAAATATCTCATTCACCCGTCTTTTTCTAAGAACGTTCCTTTTACAGTAAAGTACAGACAATCCTTTATCAGCTGAAGCTGTGTAATTCCTACCTGACAGACATATGCGTTCCCCTGTCACTCATCCATTAGCAGGCTTTTTATCCCTAACAGGAAAACACCCCCACTTTGTACCATCTCATTTCAGTAATGGAGCCCGGCTGCTCTTCAAAGTACACTCCACACTCCAGTCTTGTCTGAAACATCTGTCATGGGGCCTTCACTCCTGTACTGGATCTTACTAGGCTGTTTTTAGAAGAAAAAAAAAAAAACTAAAGCTATGTCATGAAATCTACAGGGAAACATGTAACAGTACCTTCACATTTTTCCTTGATATATCTATCAACTTTGTAGGTATTTGCATGGGACTATAGTATAATAATATGATACAGGGGTCTCCCCAGGAATTTTTTGGGGAGTGGTGCTGGAATTTTTTTGGAGGGCACGTAGTGCCCGACGCCGCGCGAAGCGCGGCTGTGAGGGGGGGAG